CTTTAGGAAACTTGCATTTTTCCACATACCTGAAGTTCAGAAAAGAAAATGAGGAACAATGCATAGGAAAACAAGTTGACAAAATTACACTTGTAAACTGAATTAAAACATACTTGGCTGTAGGACCATCCCAGTTCTTGGCATTCTCTTCATTGACTGAATAAATCTTCCCTTTCTTTGGGATCTGTCGAATAAGAGCCATATAACATCATATTTGGTGTGATGACAATGATCGGTTCAGAATCCATTATTTGGTCAAATCTAGCTTGGTTCGAATCATATTTTATAATCGCATAATTAATCCGATATTCAAAAATGTACCTTGATGTCGGGGTGAGTTAGTATGAACTGTCCAAGAGATGGATCCAGGGTAAATCCATTAACTCCTCCTCCGGTGCTCAACACAAGCTGTAAAATCATTACATTAAGTATGTACTGCGTAGCCATAAAACTGCAGAAAGCACCCATAAAATTACAATGTCCCTTGCATCAAGGAAAGAAAAACCGAGTATAGAGATGGCTCTTTTACTTGCAAGAGAAAACTTAAAAAGTAGACTGAACATAGAAAGACTTGCAGCGGTTGAAGATAGTCTGGTCGGACATGGGCTCAAACATCAAGTCCGAGTAAACATTGTACTGTGCAAGAGCTTCCATACATGCAATCTCCAGCTGCCAACATATGCTTCCCAGGTTGCAGCACATCGTCTAGAGTTGGAACATGGTCATCTTTCACCTTGTATATCCAAAAAAATCTAGATGAAAGAGAACATATTCAGTTGACCACTGCAATATCAAGTTATAACAATAATTACTTGCCACAAAATCTGAAATGGCTTTTTGGAGGTGAAGAGCCATACTGTTCCAATGGAAACTCCACAATCAATGTTGGAGGAACCGTCCAGTGGATAAAAAACAACACAGTACCGGAGTTGTTTAAGACAAATTCATTTCAAATGTTCAGAAGAACAAATCTAACATCAGCACTATGCTCAATAGAAACAGAGAAGAGAACAACTAAAAACACCTTCCACTCTTTGAGCGCTCCACGAAGGTTGCCTCTTCATCTTCTTCAGAGACAAGGATGCACTGGTGCAATGTCAAAATGTGTTAAATGTTAACAGAGGAAATTATAACATAACCAATGTATTCAACAAAAGTCATACAACTACTCACTGTTCTGCCACTTCTTACTAAAGCCTTGACAAATACTTCATTCGAAAGCACATCCAGCTTCTTTTGCTCTTCACCCTTTATTCACAAATAGACAAACTTACTCAGTATGAAATATCAACACCACATGTAGAATATAAGAAGAATCAGTGGTCTGGGAACTACTTGCCTGTACATTAGTCTCCCCAGCAAGTCCAATGAGTTTGGCAAGACCAGCCTGATTCAATAAACAGCAAACTGGTTATAATCACTTCTAAGGCCAAAAAATTAATACTATACTATATCAGTGAATATATGAAAGAAAGACCTTGTTAACAGCAGTGCAAACGAACTTGCAGCCAAGAACAATGTGATTAAGCAAGATGGTGAAATCGCCACGAGACTCGGGATACTTGGACTGCTCGTTCAACACTAAACGTGTTATGGTCATCAAGTCAGTCCTATAAGCATCCGCGTCATGATCCATCTCGCTCAACCCCTACAAAATCCCAAAAGAAAGAAAAGGTAGAAGTGGTGGATTTGCTTCTTTGGATGTGGGAAGGGAAGGATAAAAAATTACTTGGAGGGGTTATCTGCAGTGCTGGAAATGGAAGCTTTTGGGGACACGTGGGGGGAGGAGAACAAGGGAATGAGGGTGTAGTCTTCACTGAAGATAACGAGCCAACGGGTCTCGTCGTCTTTCTTGTTGAATGATGTTGTTCTGTTTTTTGTCTGTGTTTTCAGTGAAGTGGACGAGGTGAGTGAACTTCCACGTAATTTTATTTATAACAATAACCAGTCCTTTGTTTTAGTGTCGGTTTCAGACAGTGAAGTATCCAATTTGTGATTAGATAAGTTAAGTATAGTAGATTCTATTTATTATTTTCTGAATCATTATTTCTTTCTTATTATGTCTTTTATTCAAATTAATATCTAGTTAAAGAGGTTGATTTTCTGGGAAGAGCATCGTCGGCCGGTCACTTGATTCATTAGTTGTGATAGTAACACTGTCACTAACTTGATATAATTCTAGGACTGTTTTTAATTAACTAGTGCTGCTGTTTCACTTATTGCTTGGCTTTGCAATCCAAAAAAAAAAATCTTTGTTTAATTCTAAATTCCGTACCCTTAAAATAAGAAAATGAAACCTTGAATAATATTATTCTATTATCAGAAGAAAGAAAACAAAATCTTTTAACTAAACACCGGCAACAACACGTATGTGAGTTTTATCTTAAATTTCTCAATATTAATAAAGTTAAAGGTTAATATATATAAGCCTTCCACTAAACTTATATACCAACTGTCACGGGGATAATTTTTTGGCCTTACAATCCGTGCGGCCTTAAATGATGAAGTTCTTGTCGATAACTTAAGTCGGCCTGTCAAATAACCTTGTGAGAACTTAAGCTCACCAAAGCAACAAACAAGCCCTTAAGACTTGAGAAATATGTGGAAGCATGCACAAAAGGCACTAATAAATTTTTATAATATCGGCTGTAAATAAATTAATACGATAAAAAAAAATAACACTAAGATTTATGTGGAAATCTCAAAAAGGAAAAATCACGGGCAAATTATAAGAATTTCACTAATATGAAATAAGAAAATACAAGAGAATTTTTGTGAAAAAAAAAACCTTGAAACCTAACCCTTTACTCTTAGTATATATTTATAGGATAGATATTTGATTTTACATTGGAAAATTAAATAAAGTAGAAATTTACCTTAATAAAGTTATCTACTTTTAATCAAATTAGGATTCTTACTTTCCCAAATTTAAATATTAATTTGTATCACTTTGAATTGAATCAAACTCTAACAAATCTCCACCTCGACGCGAATTCTGAAAGTGCGAAGGTTTCAAGATGAAACACTCAAATTTAACAAAAAAAATGATTTTTTACTTCAACGAACAAATTCTCAACCTCTTCCACAACACCCCTCAAAGGGATAATCTTCAGTCATGGATACCGATCGAATCCAAGCTTTTTCTAAGCATGGATTTAGCCTTTACATCGACATGATTATTATAAGTGCCAATTTTGCTCACAAATGTATGACCACGAGCAATATCATGCACAACATGATCCCGATCATCAATGATAATTCTATCTTCAAATTCGTTATTCCTACAAAATTGAACTCATTTATGCTTCACATAACTGTTCTACCCACGGTTATCTTGTTCGACAAAAAGTCTTCTTTTGCTTGATTTAGTCAAAACATTTTTACTAGTAATAATGTTATTTGAAACGGGGAATGAAACATTAACTGCATTATTTAAAATTGTTGAACCCTATAAAACATAAAACTTGGCAATCCTTCTCTGCCCTTTCATCACAACAAGAGAGCCCTTACAAATCTTCATAGCTCCACTTTCATTGGAGAATTTGCACCCTTTTAAATCTAGGATACCTAACGAAATTAGATTTCTGCTCAAATATGAAACATGTCTCCCATTACGTAGTGTTCGAACAATCCCATTGAACATCTTAATCTTGATTGTGCCAATACTTGCGACTTTACAATATACATTATTTCCCAAAAATACATTACATGTATATACAACTTTATACGTCGTAAACCAGTCACGATTAGGACTCATATGAAAATTACTACCAGAGTCAAGTATTCACTCATCACTTGTTATAGAGTTGTCATTACCCGCAACTAGGATTTCTCCGTCATTGCATTCTTCTGCTACACCGGCCTCACCAGATTTTTTGGAGTTCTGCTATTCAGCTTCTCTCTTAATTTTTATTATGTAACTTGTAACAATCCAATTTAACATGACCTTTTTGTTTGCAAAAGTGACAAGTTTTACCTTGGTTGGAAGATTTTGATCGCCCATTTCTTCATTACTAGAATAATGCTCGCCTTTTCTTTTATGGTCTGAGCTAGTCGATCCATGCACCATGAGACCTTCTTCCCGAGACTCAAAATCAGATACAAGATACTTCATCTTATCAAACGAGTGTATGCCATTATACACCTCCTCAAGAATGAGTGTTTCACGACTGTACAAAACTGTGCTCTGAAAAATGAGTAGGAAGGAGGTAGTGAACATAGGAGGATCAACCCTAAATCTACTTGACCATACTTTAATTCTAAAGTCTCTAGATAATAGAAAATTTCCTTCAATGCGGTCAGGTGCTCTTTAAGAGATGAACCTCTTCTAACCTTGAAAGTCTCGATAGATATTATCGAAGAACATATTCTATGAATCAATTAATTGAGTTGATTTTAAAAAGAACAACGGAAAAGTGATCCATTTGTTGTCATTTATACGACCAAAATATTATGATCATGGTTATTAAGAATTCAACGAGACCCTTCCTCGCGAATCAGACAACGAAAGAGGATGGGCCCCCCGTTGAGTTCTTACACTTTCATGCTTATAACTTAGTTCATCCCATTATTACATCTTATATTCCATATTAGAGGGACGAACCTAATCCAGAATATGAACCATAAAAGAAAATACCTATCATAGGAATACCAGTTACTGTACCTATTATTTAAAGAGGAATCCTTCTAGTAGTATCGACCTAACTTGAGAGAATAAAGATGTTTCTTTAAGTGTAACTTGTTGATCAACAATTTCTGCATGCATAGTTGCTCAAATTTCGCCCACAAAGAAGCATCCTTTTTTCTTTCAACACATCCTCCAAATTTTGATTTGATAAGTGTAAACGGATCTGAGATAGGACTTTACGATTCTTATGCTTTTCTTTATTCGTCCAATCTAACATCTAACAATGTCTCCGTATCAAACTCTTTCAATGCATCATCTAAGTCCAATTGTGCAAGGACATCCTGAATCTTCACCTATTATAATGAGAATATGGTGTTTCGATCTAACAACGAAATATCATACTTTACTATTGCCATAATATTGAACCCGAAACTCTGATACCAATTGTTAGGAATTTGAGAGCGAAAAAATAACCAAAACGACATCAATATAAAATAAAAAAGCACAAGAGATAAGATTTAACGTGACTCGACCTTGCCTACCTCCAAGGGTGAGATAAACAACAATTCATTATAAACGTAGAGAATACAAATAGTATAAATACATAATATCACATGTATCCCAAAACCCGGTATATCCCAAAACACTCTTCCAACATCCTTACAAAACTATCTCTGCAACATAAGCCCAAAAGTTACAGAGATCAAAAAAGAATTACATCTCTCTCACACTACCCTAAAGGCTAATACATAATCTCTATCTATATAGCCAAATATTTGATCACAATAAGAATTCTTCCCTAAAATAAATTTGTACTTTATTAAATAAACCTAATTATCAAGTAATCTTTAATCACTAGAATTACAAGAAAATCCAATTTCATTATCAATTATAATTTAGATCAAAATATAAGAAAAATCACGAAAAACAACCAAACAAATAGCAAAGAGACGAGATAATACATAATAAAATATTTTTTTATTATTATTTAGAAGCGAAGAATGAATTAAATGAGATAATCAGAAACGAGGTGAGAAATATCTTTATTTATAATTAAATCTGCTGCAATAATAGATTTACATAACAACTAACATGAATGCATATCTTACAATATCTCCTATTTAAGAAAATAATATAAAATTATATCGATTAGCATATTACTTCTTTTAGATAAAAGATTAAATTGATTAAAAATAGAATAGTCCAAGAGTATTTGATAAGATGTCACTCTCCTTTTGCCTAGAATATAAACAACTCCTTTTTATTACTATTTTACCATCAAAGTAGAGCGTCGGTCGGGATTGAGAACAATTGGTGTGGCATATGGAGTTTGGCATACTGATGTCATTGTTGGGTTATTGTCACTCAATCTACTATTGGTGTTTTATAAGGAAAATTATTCATAAGGGGGATTGGGAGGGGAAAAAATCGTCCTGGACATGGAGACAAGGAACTCCAGCTTAAGCCCACATGTGTTCCAGCATTGATTGATTACAATTTTCACAAAGTAACTTGCGGACATATTTTTGCAAGTGTGTATGGTCACCGACGGAATTAAAGATACCATGTTTAGTAGAAGACACGATTGCAGGGGAATTTCTTGAAGAAATCGCATGAGACGTCGCAGCTCCGATAGAGGCGCCAACGTTGTTGCTGAGTGAGTAGCCAATAATTGGGTCTCTTGGACACTACATGATTTTATGTTTGCTTTTGAATATGTTCTGTTTGTGCCGTCTAGGACTAGGACTAGGACTATCACATTATGAGTGGAACCCACTTCGTTAGCGCATGCATGGAAAATACGACAATAGTACACACATAATGTGGATGAGAAAGTTTATTTATCAAAATGATACACTCAGTCGATTAATTTTTCATCTAAGGTGTTTTTTTTATAGTGCAATACCAAAGATCTTAAGATATTTTGGAGTCTTCAGGCAAAAATGAAGGATATTTGATTGCTTGACGTCTTCAGGTATGTTTGACATGCAGAAATACCTGGGATTGTTCGACATCTTCAGTGTAGTTGGGAAACATGTAAGTATTAATGAAAATATTAATTATTCATTAATAGTAGAGAAAATTTTGAAGTAAATTTTCTTTCAATCTATAATCTGTAAGTATTATTCGAATAAAAATATATTCGTATTCGAATAAAATATGTATATTTCGTAAAGATATTTAAAATATTATTTTTAATATGTTGTTGCAGGTAAAAAAGAAGTAAGAAATTCGAGAAGATTTTTTTATAACATCAACTTATCGGAAGAATAATAGAGAAAATTTTGAATGAAATTTTCTTTCAATCTATAATTTGTAAGTATTATTAAAAATAACATATTATTAATAATATGTCAAATATACCTGAAAACGCCAAGCAATCCAATGCCTTTCATTTTTTCCTGAAGACTCCAAGATATCTTGGGATCTTTGGCATTGTACGGTAGAAAACACCCTAAATAGGAAATTAATCGATTGAGTGAATCATTTTGGGAAATAAACTTTCCTATCCACATTATCTAGATACTTTTACCCGGAAAACACAGCCTTCCCCACTCCACTAAGTGAACATACAACAAATTATTGTTCAAAATTGTCAGCATGTTTAATTTACAGTAACATTATAATGTTTACATACATAGCTTCCATCACCCTTCCAAACTTTTTCACTTCAAATTTGGATATGAAACTGGATCATGTTGTCATGTTTTCTATTTTGAACCCAACATTTCTCTTTTCAGATGCATATATTATTATTAAGTAGATTAATCTCATAAAATGGTAATTTTCCCACGTTCACATCTCACTAACTTTTTATAAATGCAATAAAATGCAGATTTTTTTAATAAAACATTTAATCATCGACTATTGAGATAAAATATCTCAACGCCATCTACATTTAAAATATAACATTATAAATAAAATGATCTGAAAAATCTCTATAATATTAAATCAAAATAATTGATCAATTGAATCTATACAAACGATTATATAGGAAAAAGTTTTTTTTTTAAATATTATGAGACATTATAAAATAATATATATTCAAAATTTTCTTAATCGACTGATAATGCACATACCCTTATAAACGTAGCTATTCGAACTCAAAATTTTTTGAGTAAATAATATTCTTTTTTATCCCTAAAAATTCTTTATAGATTTATTTTCGTACATAAAGAAAGTTAAATCCCATTAGTAAGTATTATTCAAACATAAACTCAAATTAAAATATGTTTTTATTATAATAGTAATATTTTTAATTTATATAAAATTATTAAAACAAATATCCAAACATCTACTTTTACTGCAACCATACTTTATTTTCCTTAAATTTTGGCTTATTGTAAAAGAATATCATTTATGGGCTGTTTGTTTATTTCAAATGATTAAGTGCTGAATGATTCAAATACTAAATGATTCAGAGACTTTATATGAATTAGCTCTGAATGTGACATGCTGTTTGATAAGGGCTCTGAATCATTCAAAATATACTTCTGTACTGAATCATTTAACACTGTTTTATTGAATCAGTCAACACTGTTTTGTTGAATTAATCAACACTGTTTTGTTGAATCAATCAACACTGTTTTATTGAATCAGTCAACACTATTTTATTGAATCAGTCAGCACTGAATCATTCAGAGATGCGAAACAAACACGCTTAATGCTAAACGGTTCATCATTCAACACTGAATGATTCTATTTAGAGTCAAACAAACAACCCTTAATTATTGTCGTAATATAAATATTTATAAAAATAAAGAAAAATAGTTGTCCCTTGTTCCCATATGTAATGAGATAAGGAAGAGGTAAGATAGTAGGTTGCCTTCAACACCAGGTTGAGTGCAACTTCCGTAGAAGACCTCCGAATTATGAAATGCCCTTCGTGAGACTCGATCCCACGACCTCAAGATTAAGAACCTTGTGTTCTACTAACTGAGCTGGATAATATCAAAAAAAATAAAAAAATAAAGAAAGATTAATCAAAAAATAAAAAATAAAGAAAGAAAAAGTTACTGAGAATAAAAAGATCACTGAAAGTATCTTCTCAAATGTTTCAACCTCCAAGGCGACTTCCAGCTTTTAGTTTATGTCTGACCATCTCATGTTTTTAAAATTTTAAAACACACACAAACACAACAGTCGGAAAATTCCAGCTACCCAGAATACCTTCCCGTCCGGTAACATCCGTCTGTTCCGCCGGCAATTGCCTTCAGTCACTACAACAGAGTCGCCATTTTGACCCTTGAGTCGTCCCGCCATCAGTCTAACTTAAGGGACTGGCTTAATGGTGGTGGATTGAAGAGGTGAATGCTAAGGTTTCGTTTCTGAAAGAGGAGAGACCCATAGATCTGCTAAAGTGTTGCTGTAACTGTTTTGTTTTTGTTTTCGGAAATGGACGGGCTAAAGATGCTTGGATGTTAAGCTTAGGAGGAAAAGAGGAGAGGAGGGGAAAGAGGAGAGGAGGGAGAGTGGAGAAGAGAGAAGAAAGGAGGAAGTGGTAACAACTGATGATGAGTGGTGCTCAAGAGAGCGATCGTAGAGGGAGGTGGCGTTGCAGTTGTTTCCTCACATGGAATGGCAGATCTTGTTAGCAACGGCAATGCCCAACGTGACGTCGACCAGGTCTTTAAGAATTTTGTTTAACTTTATTTATTTATTCTCGATTTTTTTTCTTAACTTTGTTTTACTCTCAATTGTGTTTTCTGATCAGAGGGTAAGAAATGATGAGTAATTTTGGGTTCCTCATTACTTTGTTGAATGGCTAATATAAGTATTCGGTTTCCTTTTCTAGATTTAAGAGATTCTAGAAAGCTGGAAAAAATACGACCTTTTTTGTGCCTAATTTATTAGAATCTCTAGAATTGTGTTGAGAATGTTGAGATCTATGTTATTTCTTCGTTTTGAGAAAATTTAGGGGGAATGGTTGACAATTTAGGTTAATGAACATGGAAGTTGTTTGCTTGTTTAGTTCAGGATCAGGTGACGTTAAAAATATCATCTGGTTACTGTTCCAAATGTTAAATCCCTGACATTTGCTTGACATTATCTAAGTAATTCGTTCATAATTGACGCATATTAGACCTATAAATAAGGTGATTTCATGAACATCAGAGATGCATATAAAACATGCATATTAGCCGGGAACAAAGTGAGCTACTCTTAAATGGGCTATGTGATGATTGACAATTATTGATTTGTGATTTAAGAGACTGTGTGAGGTTTGGTTGGTTACTATCATTGTTCTCTTTCTTGATGGTTATGTTGTTGATGTTTGAACAATTTTCTGTATATATCTTGATATCAATATCCTTTTACATGTAATATTCTTTACCTAATGTAGGAATTAATAGCTTTGAAGAAGGGTGCTCAGCTTTTGAAATATGGTCACAAGGGAAAGCCAAAGTTTTGTCCATTTAGACTCTCTAATGTAAGTTTGGTTCCATATTTTGAATCCTTCTGTTATGTTCCTGAGTTGTGAATTTGACTATTTAATGCTTTGTTAGACAGTTTTAAATTGAAATGTGCTCCAACATCGAAGGGCATTAAAAAAACAATGCATTAAAAGTTTATTTAATCTTGTTATGCAATGTTTAAAAAACAGGATTGGAAGTGGTTGAACTGGTTGACCTCTGGTTTCCATCCCGACTGGTTCAACCAGTTGGACAGGCTAGTTTAATTTTATTAAATGTTTAAACATTAACTTAATCTAAAACGAATATTAAACGTAGTAATTAACAAAAGAAGATGCATTTGCCTAATAATATGGTCTTCAATATAAAACTACAAAGCTTCAAATCTAAATGATTAAAAATAAAGTTTCATATCCAATTTTTACACTTCTATCCAGTTTGTTTACCGGTTTGACTGTCACCCAGTTCTTTTATAGCCACTCGATTAGACAAGCCGTTGTTTCACAGTTCAACTAACTGTTTCAGTCTCTGACTCCGAGATACTAGTCTTTTCCACCATTTAGGCTTGCAACTGTGAAAATTGAAACAGGTGCACAGTGACCGGCTATCTATTTTCGTGTATGCTGTGTATTACGTGTAAAGGATTGTGTCAAATAATAACAATAATTATTTTAGGAAAGACATTAGTTTATTATTATTAGGATCAATTTATTATTATTTGATTATGAGAATTCTTTGGAGCAAGTCTTTTATCTTAGCCAATTATTAGGAGCATGTGTTTATTCAAACAAAGTATTTAATCTCTATTTAAAGAGCCTGATTTGCATCAAAAAATTTAAGTTAGAACTTTAAAAGAAAAACCTATGAGAGTGATCAATCCATTAGTTGGGATGGTAACACAGTCCCTAACTTGATATGATTCTAGGACTCTTTTTAATTAACAAGTGATGCTATTTTACTTATTGCTTAGCTTTGCACCTTTTTTCTTTTATTTTTAAATCCAAAAACAAATTTGTTGTTAATATCAGCACATAATAACTGTTTTCATTTGTCAAAATTGCAGGATGAAACATCTTTAATCTGGAGTACAAGCAGCGGTGAAAGAAGTTTGAGGTTGGCTGCAGTCTCTAAAATTATTCCTGGACAAAGAACCGTGAGATCCTTATGGTTCTATTGTTACACAAACATTATATTATACTCTTTTCTTTTTTCTATTTTTTTTTCAAGAAAATCTAGTTTGGTTCCTGCTATGCTTGCATAAATTTCTTCTGAGTTATGCTAATTTTTTCCTCTTTGCTGCTCTATCAGGCTGTTTTCCAGCGGTATCTCTGTCCTGAGAAGGATTGTTTATCCTTTTCTCTTATATACGACAACGGGAAAAGGTCTCTTGATCTGGTTAGTGATGGAACTTCGATATTCTGTTTGTAGATAAACAATAAACTATTGTCGATACTCAATACTTTTATTTATCTGGTTATTTATCCCTTTACATCGACTCCTAGATCTGCAAGGACAAATTTGAGGCAGAGGCGCGGATTGCGGGCCTCAAATCATTAATATCTTTTGGTCAGGGTGGACATTCCAAAATTGATAGTTGGACTGACGGGGGCCTCTACCTTGATGTAATTCCATGTTCATTTGACTCCTTTTCAGTAATTGTTTTGTGATTTTTCTGTTGCACGAATTGCCATTTATATTGATTCCAGTTTGTGCATTTTCAATATGTGAAAATGTTTTGCCAGATAATCATTCATTATTCATGAAACAATTCCAGTACTATCTCCCAAGCTCTTGCTATGTCAGAAGTCTGTACGTACATAAAATTACTTGGTTGCTTGATGAATTTTGGTAGTTTAGTTAACTTTTTTTTGATATTTAAGTCTTCATTTCTTTATTCTTTTAGTTGCGAAAATCCTTTCAGAGTTGAGCATAAAAATTCATGGTTTTTTAAATATAATTGATTGTATTACTGTTATAGGCTTATAGCTACAGTTATAGATTTTGTTTGACATAAATGCTCATCACTGATTGATTTCAGGATGGTAGAGACCTGACATCAAATAGTGCAAGTGTCAATTCTGTTAGAACTAGCCAAGATATTAGCTCCCTTGAGATTTCTCTCAGTTTTAACCCAAATACTTCTCCAAAGAGTTTTGGGCCTGAGAATTCTTTTCAGTCTGCAAGGTCACATGTAGCATCTGACGGCACAAATATGCAAATAAAAGGACCTGGTTCAGATGTTCTTCGTGTAAGTGTTTCTAGTGCTCCTAGTACTTCAAGTCACGGTTCTGCAACAGATGATTATGATGCTTTAGGGGATGTGTATATATGGGGTGAGGTTATCTGTGATAGTGTTGTGAAGGTTGTGGCTGATAAGAACACCAATTATTTGAGCACAAGAGCAGATGTGCTTATTCCAAGGCCTTTAGAGTCCAATGTAGTTTTAGATGTACATCATGTAGCTTGTGGGGTCAAGCATGCTGCCCTAGTTACAAGGCAAGGTGAAGTTTTCACATGGGGTGAAGAATCTGGAGGACGACTTGGTCATGGTGTTGGGAAGGAGGTCAGTCAACCTCATCTTGTAGAATCACTGGCTGTTACTAGTGTTAGTCTTGTTGCATGTGGAGAATTTCATACTTGTGCCATTACAATGGCTGGGGAACTTTATACATGGGGAGATGGAACCCACAATGCTGGGCTTCTTGGTCATGGTTCAGATGTCAGCCATTGGGTACCAAAGAGAATTTCAGGTCCTCTTGAGGGACTTCAAGTTGCTACAGTAATGTGCGGTCCATGGCATACAACCTTGATAACGTCAACAGGACAGCTGTTTACTTTTGGGGATGGAACATTTGGTGTCTTGGGCCACGGTGACAGAGAAAATGTTCCATATCCAAGAGAAGTGGAGTCTCTGTCAGGATTGAGAACAATTGCTGTGGCATGTGGAGTGTGGCATACTGCTGCAGTTGTTGAGGCTATTGTCACTCAATCTACTACTAGTGTTTCATCAGGAAAATTATTCACATGGGGGGATGGGGACAAAAATCGTCTTGGACATGGAGACAAGGAACCCCGGCTTAAGCCCACGTGTGTTCTAGCACTAATTGATTACAATTTTCACAAAGTTGCTTGTGGGCATAGCTTAACAGTTGGTTTGACAACATCAGGGAATGTTTTTACAATGGGAAGTACTGTGTATGGTCAACTTGGGAATCATTTTGCTGATGGAAAGATACCGTGTTTAGTAGAAGACAAGCTTTCAGGTGAATGTGTTGAAGAAATTGCCTGTGGTGCATATCACGTTGCAGCTCTAACTTCCAGGAATGAAGTGTATACATGGGGAAAAGGAGCTAATGGTAGGTTGGGCCATGGAGATGTTGAAGATCGAAAAACTCCTACTCTGGTTGAGAGTTTGAAGGATAGACATGTCAAGTATATGGCTTGTGGTTCAACATATAGTGCTGCTATATGTCTCCATAAATGGGTATCTGGTACCGAAGAATCTCAATGCTCGGCTTGTAGGCAGGCTTTTGGGTTCACCAGAAAAAGGCATAATTGCTACAATTGTGGACTTGTGCACTGCCATTCCTGCAGTTCAAGGAAAGCACTAAGAGCAGCTTTGGCCCCTAATCCTAGGAAACCTTATCGTGTGTGTGATTCCTGTTTTGCTAAAATGAACAAGGTTTTTGAAGCTGGTAATAATAGGAGGAATTCCATACCTCGCCTTTCAGCTGAGAACAAGGACAGGTTCGATAAGGCTGAAACAAGATTATCCAAATCTGCTTCTCCTTCAAATATAGACTTGATCAAGCAGTTAGATATCAAAGCAGCGAAACAAGGAAAAAAAGCTGAAACATTCTCCTTGGTTCGCTCTACTCAAGCACCTTCTTTGTTACAATTGAAAGATGTTGCTTTGTCAACTACTTTAGATTTGCAGTGGACGGTTCCTAAACCAATTCTTACTCCATCTGGAATGAGTTCCAGATCTGTTTCACCTTTATCAAGGAAACCTAGCCCTCCACGTTCTGCTACCCCAATTCCAACAACATCTGGACTTTCTTTTTCCAAAAATGTCATGGATAGATTGAAAAAGACAAATGACCTTTTGAACCAAGAAGTGCTTAAGTTGTGTGGACAGGTAAGAATGTTGTTGCTGGTGCTCTGTGCTTTTAGTATTTATCTCCATTTGGGGTTATTCTTATATTTGGAAAGGGGGTGGGCCTTCTGGTGACTGTGTCAATGAAATTCTGATGATTATGGATCTATTGTAGGTTGAGACCCTGAGAATGAGATGCGAGCTCCAGGAATCAGAGCTTCAAAAATCAACGATGAAAGCTCAGGAAGCTATGGCACTGGCTGTAGAGGAGTCTGCTAAATCTGAAGCTGCCAAGGAAGTTATAAAGTCGCTAACAGCTCAGGTTATTTTCAGCTTTACGTTGTTCCCTCTATTGTTTAATTGTACTCTCTTCTTTTGAAATATGTTTTCTTTAACTTGCAATGCAACCACTCATGATGCTGATTGAATGACTCCTTTCATTGTCTTATATGTTAAAAGTCCTTTTAGTCAGCAACCCTTGCTTTTTCTTTGTCTTGTCAATTTTCTCCTTATAATTCTCAAAAGGATTTGTTTCTATTTTACTTCCCCAGCTCAAGGATATGGCTGCAAGGTTGCCACCTGGAGTTTATGACACTGAGAGCATTAAACCAACATACCTTCCAAATGGCTTGGAGCAAAATGGTGTTCACTGTCCAGATTCAAATGGATTGGGTCATTTGAGATCTGATTCAATTGGTGGCTCTTTTCTTGCCTCCCCCACCGCACTTGCTTCTTCCACAATCAATTGCCATTCAGATACGAGGCTGCTGAAGGGCACCACAGGTTTGCAGGAAGGGAACAGTAGTGTGTCAGTGGCTGTTGATGGAAGAGTATCTGAATCTTTCAGAGATAGTGAAAATGGTATGGAATGCAGAATTTCTGCATCAGTAGCTAATGGTAGTCAAGCTGATGCTGACTGGATTGAACAGTATGAGCCTGGAGTCTACATAACTCTTGTAGCACTGCAGGATGGAACTAGGGATCTTAAACGCGTGCGGTTCAGGTACATTTTCTATGTCCGTTTATATCTCACCATTTATTAGGTTTCATCTAAATGCAACAACCGCACAAGGGGTAAAGAAAAAGATGAACTAGAAAGCCTACTGGATTTGTTTATTCGACACTAGAAATTGAGTAGGGTTTGCTTGTAGATTTTTCATTATCATATAATTTATTTGATTTAGAGTAACATTGTTTGGGGAAATCTTTAAAGGAAGAAAGCATGAAAATAGAAGAATCAAAAGCACCCATCAATCAGGTCCAAATTTTGGATCCATGTAGCTAGTGGATGCAATAGTTTGCATAACTATTTGATCTTTATAAATCTTAGATGTTCAGCATATGTTGTTATATGCAGCCGGAGAAGATTTGGAGAGCACCGAGCAGAATGTTGGTGGTCGGAAAACCGTGAAAAGGTATATGAGAGGTACAATGTGCGTGGATCAAACAAAACATCGGGAGGTCTTTCTCCCATTTCACAAAAGTAGGGAGGGAAGTTAGCGTTTTGTGAATGTGACAAGGCGAAGGAGCAAGAATCAAATCTGCAAACCCCGTTTCATTTTCTTTTACCTTTTTGATTCCCCACCTCTGTTTTCCTTTTTCTGGTTGCCCCTCTGTAATTCAGTTTCTTGTATTTGACATGTATTGTAATGTATATAAAGTCGTCAATTGCTAAATTGTAGATAGCCCTGGCATGAAGGTATCTTTTACCTTGCATTTAGTCAGAGCTCCCCCGAGAAAGGGAACCCTAAACGTGACGCACCTTTTGTGTCCCGTTATCTTAGGGACGAACCCTAAACCCTGCGTTGTTTGTGTATTAAAAATAGTTGGTCTTCGGATTCTAGTGTTTACACCATCATTGTGTGAGCATTTTTTATGAACAATATTCTGTAGGTTGGTTTGTGTTGCACACTTTGACCTTCCTAATTCCCCGTATCCCCCCCTTTTTTTTCCCTTGTCCCAATAAATTCAAAGAGGTTCTTTACTTTTAGTTAACCTCTTAACACAATGTGTAAATCTATCACAGATGTTAATTTTATTTTAATTTATTTCTTAAGTTAAATAACCTCGAAATGTTCATTGCAACACAAATAGACTACACCTGCGAACCATTTAGGTTGAGACCATCCATAAGTACTTGTCACCTTCATCTTTACGAGAATCCCTTTTATTTTTGGTGGAAACAGTAGTTCCAGATAAGATATTCTATGTTAAAGACACTATAACCAATGTTTATTCAAATATAATATTATTAAGGGTAAAGTATATAAATGGTCTCCTGACTATAAGGTATTATTTTATTGAGTCTCTCAATTATTAAAAGTTATAAAATGGTCCTTTAGCTATAAGATATTACTTTTTTTAGTCCTCCGACTATTAAAAACTATAAAATGGTCACTCGACTATTCATTGTGTTCCAAACTCATCATTTTTCGTTAAAAATTTGATGGCGGTTTGAGTTGAACATTAATCTGTTGACTGAGATATGATAGTCATTTGAAATTCTGATATCATATTATATAATATATCAATTAGCAGGGTTAACGTCAAACTCTAATTTCCATAGATTTTTAACGTAAAAAGGACGAGTTCATAATAGAATTAATAGTCGGGTGACCATTTTGTAACTTTTACTAGTTAGGATACTTAAAAAAGCAACGTCATATAGTCTTGGGACCATTTTATAACTTTTAATAGTCGGAGGACTCAATAAAACAATACCCTACAGTTAGAGGACCATTTATGTTCTTCACCCTATTGTTAACCATATTATGACTCTGTCTTCAGATAAAGAAACAGATCTCATGAAATTTATCCAAATGCGTTTCACTTGTTTGTGAAAACAATAGTTCCGGTAATTTATTCAAAATTTATATGATTATTTAATATCAATGTTTTGAAAAAAGATACTTACCATACAAGTGAAACGCACTTAAATAACTTTGAAAAATAGTACTCCAATAGAAACCTTTTACTTTATTTATTAAAATATGAAACCAAAAGAAGACTTATGCAAATGACCTCACCAAAAGAAAACAAAAACAAAAGAATTAAACGGAGAAAGAATCTTGCAAGGCCAGTAGGTATACCCGATATAGGACATAATGCAAAATAGAAGTTGGAGTTGATAGAAGTTGTGGTTTCTCGACGGAGCAGAAGGCGGGATGGGGATTGTTTTAGGCAAAGCACCGAAGAAGCTACACGGACGTGGTGAACTAATCCGATGAGACGACTTTGGATCATGTTGAACACACGAGATGATGAACCGTCATGGTCATGGGCTGACTCGCTCAGCAAAAACATCAACACCACAACCTTTCTGCTGCCCATTGAATCAGTTCAAGGAGGGACAGGAGTCGTGAAGCTTGGGGGGGGGGGATGAGGATTATAACTATCTATATGAAATGAAAGAGGTTTGGTTGGTATGATGGTGGCTTGTCTAACAAGAATATGACATGAAACATACTGTTGAGTTCACCTGTTCATCACTACAATCCTTCTCTTTTAAAGAGTTTTATGTGACAATCTAATGAATTCCAAGCTAACAAAATCAGAATTCATCCACTATGATGGACCCTGTTCGTGTCAGATCAAACTTCAAGTTCTATATTCATTTTAAACAACTTTCAAAATTGTTCATACATTTCAAGATGATCACGTCTCAACATTATTATAATTTATATCCCTATTTAATACCATTTCATTTATCAAATTTAGCTGTATATATATTTATTATATTTATTCGTTATTATAACTTGTTATGTGATGAGTTTTGGTGTGATAATTGCGTTGCTCAATGCGAACATTAATACTTATTTTTTAATTTGAATATAATTTAGATTATTAGATGTTTATATTTTATAATCAAGGGAGAAGATACTAGGTAAAAAATATTAGATAATTAGAACAATGAGATTATTGTCGACAATCATTTTCGTCCGAGTTTGCATATATTATTATTATTACTATATTATTATAGTATTACTATTACTATTATATATTAATATATTTATTATTACAAATAATACAAATCGAAGGCCCATTTTACAAAATCAACCCGGTTCAGGCCCAGACATAATTTAAGCCCAGATGACCCAAACCCGATTAGGGTTTTCACATCTTATTTCTGCCTCCACAGATTTCAACCGTTGGATCTGGAGAGATCCAACGGTCACGAAAGGATCCAGAAGAAGCGAGGATAACTGCACACTTCATCATCTATATGGTGAGTCACCATCGTAGATCCGGTGACTCACCGAACGAACAGTGTTTTGAGGGCTATAAAAAACCTTGATTTCCCTGCAAAAAAAGATAACACAACTGCAAGAACGGGAAGATAGCAAGCAACACCAATGAGAAGCAAACAAACCGAAAGGAGAAGAAAAGAGAGGATATCTTATCTTCGTCGAAGCCCAAACGTCGTCGGAAAAGTTTTACCGAAGGTAAAATCTTAGATCTAGGCCGTTTGTTCGAGTTTGCATATATTATTATTATTACTATATTATTATAGTATTACTATTATTTATTATTACTATTATTATAATATATTAATATATTTATTATTACAAATAATACAACCCGAAGGCCCATTTTACAAAATCAACCCGGTTTAGGCCCAGACACAGTTCAAGCCCAGATGACCCAAACTCGATTAGGGTTTTCACATCTTATTTATGCCTCTACAGATTTCAACCGTTGGATCTGGAGAGATCCAACGGTCCAGATCTAATCTAGCATAAACTCTAGGGTTCACCAACCCTAGAGCTATTTCGGCCGCCGCCTTCAGGTGCTCCAACCAGATGCTACCACGACACCGTTGCCTCCAACAGAAGGATCCAGAAGAAGCGAGGATAGCCGCGAGCATTCAAGATAAACAGATTTGCGCACAAATAGAGCCAAGAGTACCCACAGTGGGGTATTATCAAAGTTGGACCTCGTGGGGATTATGAGGTTCAAATCAAATGGACATTGAGAGTAAGCCTTACAACTTATAATGTTGGGACATCCTGAAGGCTCATGTAACATCCTCAATATCGGGTTAGTGACCAAATTGTAAAATTTCAAAATTTGGTGATAAAAGTAGAATAGATGAATAGTTCAATGATTTATTTGGAAATATTTCCTGAAAATTATTAGTAATTATTAAATGAAGTGAAGGACAAAATGATCATTTGACTTAGAAATTAATTAAAAATGGGATTGATAAGGATATAAGATAAGATGAAAGAGATATTTTCTCCAAAACTTCTTCTTCATCTTCTTTCTTCTTCTTCAACGTGAAGCACTCCAAGAAAAGGTAAGTTTTCTGATTACTTGATTGTTTGTTGATTTTAAGTATGGGTTTTGATCCTTAGGTGATACTTAAGCTTAAGGAAAGCATAAGTTGTCTTAAAATCAAAAGATTAAGAAGTTATGAAAGATTAAAGAAAATGAGTTTTTAAGTGAATTTTTGGAAAAGAGTTGATAAGTTGAATTTGAAACTAAATTTGACTTGTCATCAACTTAATTAAGAGATATGAAGTGATAGAATTGGATTTTGAGCATCTTGAAAATTTGGTATGATTATTGATTTCCATATGAAAGATGGAATTTTAAGGTTAAAGATGTATTGAATGAGTAGGAATTAGTTTAAGTATATGTACTTGAGTTAAGAATAGAAAAGGGAATGAAACATGAAGAATTTTAATGAAAAGTTATGGAATTTTCGGATGAAATCAGTTTATAATTGACAGGTGCATCGGTACACTATGATTGGGCACCGATGCACTAAGACCAATTTTGAAGGTGCATCAATGCATTAAGGGATGCATCGATGCATGAAAATTTCGAAGTTATTTTGGGTACTGATGCATACATAGTGCATCGGTACACTCCTAAAGGAAAAGTAGAAGTTTGGTTTATTAAATTAGCCTAAGTTATTAATACCAACTTATAAGGTTTAGGCTTCTGATAATTGTCTCAGAAATTATGTTTATGTAGATATTGAGCCTAAACAAGTTTCAGAACAATCAAAGAATTAGGATCGAATCAAAGTAAGGCTAAGGTTAGTGCAATTTAATTGTACTTATGTTATCGATCAAACATTGGCTTGCGATGAGCTAGTGACAGAGTTATTATGGTAAGAAGTAATTTCTAAAATGTTATGTGATTTTTATGTGTGCATGCGTGCATGAAAATGTGTATAGGTGTCATATGTTATTATATGCAATATGTTATATTGAACTACATGAATATATGAAAAATATGATATCAACTAAGTGATATGCATGATATGTTATTTTATGTGCTATGTGATGAATATATGACTATATGTGAACAATATATGACATATGTATATGAACAAAGGAGAAATGATATAAGCCATATGAAATAACCTACGTGATTCTATGTAAAGTGATATGAACTATGTGACATATGAATATGTAATACGTGATACACATACATGTGGTATGTGACAGAAGAAAAGAAATATGTGATCATAAGAGCAATGATATGAACTGTTATGAATGATAATGCTCATGTTATATGATACGAGAGCTATAGGTATAGTTGGCATGCTAAGAGTTGAGGGACTACGCGGTCCTTCGGGACAACTCATAGGTCCTTCGGGACATATTCACATGTCATTCGGGATAAAATTTCATATGCCACTAAGTGGGACTTATACGAGCTGTGGTGACAACAATAGTGCACAACTTCAATGTACTCGAATACCTAAAGTTCTCAATAATGCACATGGGATAATAAAGAGATAATCCTGAATATAATGTATGTAATATATATATGATGTGTGATATGAACTGTATGAAATGATAAATGTGTGTTATGATTTATTGCATCTGTTATAAGCATGAGATATAAGATATATGATAAGAACATAAGAGATTATATGAACAAGAGATAAGAAATATAAATGATAATATAGTATGAATATGATAGAAACATAAATGATGTAATGATTGTATATATATATGCATGTGTGCATTTTTGTTATATGAAATGTTCTATGGTTTATTATATGTTTTATATGCCTCACTAAGTCAACAACTTAGCGTGTGATTGTTTCACGCGTAGGTTCCGAGAAGAGGAAGATTGATAAAAGTTATGCAAGACAAGTCAGTTCCTCCTTTCCAAAGATCAGATCAGAAAAGAATTGAATAATATATATTTTGTAATAATGATAGTGGTTGGCATGTAAATAAAAGTTTGAATCTGATATGCTCTAATTGGTTTGTAAAATCATATAATTGAGTTTTGTAATATTTTAAACGTGTATATGTAAATGGTAATTTTATATGGATGAAAGCTTAGATTTTTATGAATTTATACGTATTTTGACGAAATTACTGTAGCAATGCCTCTGTACACTGTAGCAGTGCATCGATACACAATTTATATTCGATTTTTTTTGTGCATCGGTACACTGTAGCACTGTTCACGGTACTGTTCACAGTACTGTTCACGAAAACATATTTTTTTGTTCAATTTTGTTATAATGAAATCTAATTCAACAATATATGATTGTATTTTATTGATATAAGTTCAAATGTTAAGTTATTTTGTAAGGAAATTGTTTTAAAAAATAAATATGATATCTCAGACTCGTATCTGGGTCGGGTACGGGTTGGGATGTTAAAACTCACATCAACAAGAAGAAAATGTTGGGGCATTTTGAAGACTCATTCCAACCAGAATTAGAATGTGGGGCATTTTGAAGACTCACATTAACAAGAAGCAAACGTTGGGATATGCTGAAAACCCATATCATCTTTCAGAAAGATCATTGAATTGGGAAAATATTTCCGATGAGACATAAATGTATGAAGAATGAAAATGGTGAAACAGTGACAATGGGATTGACCATATATGATCATTTTGTTCATCATACGGTTGCATTATCCTGGTAATCTCATCTACATTGATGCTGACAAGTTAAGGCATCCCACTTGTATTATCAATGAAATTTTATTAAAATAACAGAGCATTTTGGTGACCAATCACACCTCGATAAAATGATTGGTGGCGACTCCACAAATTGTGTTTTATCTTATACCAGAAGAAAAACACTTACTTTTTCGAGACGAGATTTAGAAAGCAACAACACTTGTTTTCGCCGGGTAAAATAACGTCTCGACAATTATTATTTAAGATTATCAACGAAAATATATTTATATTTATTATTTTTACTTAACATTGTACTGTATCTGTTCACATCCAGAAAATATTTTATAAAAGAATTGTTTTGTAAATCATATGTATTTGAATTATATATGTTAAAAATTGAATCATTAACTGTGTCTTACACGAGATTCTGATTAAAACCAAGGGGAAGACAGAATATTATAATTTGAGAGAAGGATGCA